CTAAATTTCTAGCGGTGGCTTGATATTTTTTGATTTAGTCTTGTTTATAATTCTGCCCTGGGTACTTATGAACTAGAATAATGTCTAATAATAAGATTTTTATTCCTTTTACCTTCTCTGGATAATCTTGAAAAATGAAGGAACAAAGAAAACAATTCTGGATCTTTCCCCCAGACACAACATACTCCTCACCCCATTAGCAGAATCTTCTATTTCAACTTGCTATGTAAACTTCTCTTTTTGTTGGCAGTCCTCATTATGCATTTTTGTAGAAGTTTCAGAATCTTGGTATAAAATTCTGTTATCCCTTCACTTCTTGATAGGTTTTAGCTTATAATTCAGTTGCTCTGCTTATAGGACTGTCTCATATTTGAAGTTCTCAGCTAAAATAATTTATGAGCACAATTTCAAGAAAGTCGTGTTATATTTTAATTAAAAATGATAAACCACAAATCTGCATTCCTATGTGCTACATTAAGCTGTAAATGAAAGGCTGTGTCAAGACATCCTAGAAGACTGAACACGCTGAACTAAAGAAAAGAAAGACATATTTCTGTCTTTTGAAAAAAAGAGAAATTGTTATTCATGGTCAAAATCTTTTATTCTCATTTTTATCACGGTTTCATTTGCATGTAAAGGAGAAAGACCTTTATCACTTGATGATTACTATAAACTGTTTTTAAACAGAATATCCTTCCTCCGTTTATGAGATTAGGAGTTGGTGAGCAAGACTAATGGCAGCATGCCAGTAGTGACCTTCATCTGCAAAATGAATCATATAGGGCCACAACTTCAAAAACCTATGAAATTTATTAGATGAATTTATATTATTTCCCTTAGAAATGGAAAATATACTGTAGATCCTGGTTAAGAAGATATATTTAGTCTTATTTAGAGAAATAAGCCTTTATTATTTAGTATTACAAAATATCAATATAAATAAACCCAGAAATAGAAAAATCCTTGAATGAAGTTTAACTTCTATAAAACTTTTCATGCATAAATAATTTTTCAAAAGAAACTTCTCACAGAATACCTGTGAGGTATTCTGTCAGGAACAAACAACCAGAACAGTTCCAAGAAATGGTCAAAGAAGTGTATTCATTGATGAACAACACTGTACAGGAATCTTGCCAGATTGTCTGCCTTCCCTTGGGAAAGGACAAATACATTCCTAATATCTCCACTTCAAATACTTCCCTCCCAGAGTCTAAGCTGAAATGTTTTTTAACTCCTCCTCAGGGCTAATGGTTTAACTCCTTTCTTTCAGCTAGTGGTTCCACCACAATACCAGTTTAATAAACCATCACATTTAGTCTCCTATTCTTCTTGTTCCTCATTCTTATTTTTTAAAAAATCAAAATATCAATTCAGTCTCTCTTCTGCTTCCAGTAAATATTCTCAACTTATTCTAGAATATAAATATTATGTAATGATTGAACAGGAAAGGTTTTGACAATTTAGGTTTCGTTAAGCCCATAAAATGGCCTTTTACCAACATTGTTGAGAAAAGACAGGACCCTGAGATTAAAGCATTTCATGGTTAGTGCAATCCATTGTTAATCATAACGTTCATTCCATTTACTTTAACTTCTATATCTGTTCTCACCAGTAGTGTTAGGTCAGGACTCTAACATGATACAATATGAGATTTGTTTTTTGTAAACTAGTTATCTAGTAAATTATAAATTATAATATTGTTGACATTACAGAAACTTGATGAGATAAAACCCATGAATAGAATATACAGCTAGAGGGATTTACATTGTTTAAAAGAAACGTATCTAATAAAAGAAGAGGTAGACTTGCACTATATATAAGGAAGTAGTTTCTTATATAGTAGTTCCCATCTTCAAAAAAAATGGATCCAGGAAACTACATATCTATCAGCCTGACATCAATAACTGGGAAGATTTTTAAAAAGATAATCAAGCGATGAATCTGCAAAAGCCTAGAGGCAACCAAAGTCATAACAGAAGCTAACATGGGCTTGTCAAAAATAGATCATGTCAGACAAATCTGCATTTCTTGGTAATATGACAAAATTAGTCACATTTAATGTGATCCACTAGTTAAATTAGTGGATCAGAGAAATTGTGAATATAATTTACTTGTATTCAGTAAGGCATTTGATATAGTAAACCACAGTCTACTAGTTGACAAGATAATAAAAATGTGAGATAGACAGCATCACCACCAGATGGATTTGTAACTGGCTGACATCCATACTCATTAGTCCTTAATGGAACTGCGTCTATATGAAGGGAAGTATGCAGTGGGATATCCAAGGCTCTGTCTTAGGTCCAGTGTTCTTCAATATCTTCTTCAATAATTTAAACAAACAGGATAAAAGGGGAACTCAACAAATTTACAGATGACACCAAGTTGGCAGGAATAGCCAACACTCCAGAAGACAGGCTCAAGATACAGAAGGATCTTCACAGACTTGAACACTGTGCATATCTAACAAAATGAAATTCAATGGTGATAAAAGATTCTACATTTAGGCAAGAAAAACAAAATGCACAGGTATAGAGTAGGTAGTATCTGGCACAATAATAACAAATTTAAGAGAATCTTGGAATCCTAGTGGATAATCACATATGAGCCAATAGTGTGCTGCATCTGCCAAAAACAAAAACAAAAACAAAAAAATATCACAGTCCTAAACTGCAAAAACTGAGAGTTAGAATCAAGACCATGTGATGTAATAGTACCACTTTCTAATGGTTTGATAAAACCACACTTAAATAGTGCATCCAGTTTTGGTTGCCACAATATGAAAATAAATATTGAGACTCTGGAAAAAGTACAGAGAAAAGCAACAAAGATGATTGGGGGGCTGGTGGCTAAAACATACAAAGAACAGTTGCAGGAAATGGGTATCTCTAGTTTAATGAAAAGAAGGACTTGGGGTGATATAGCAGTGTTCCAATATCTAAGGGGTTGCCACAAAGAAGAGGGGATCAAGTTATTCTCCAAAGTACCTGAAAGCAGGACAAGAAGCAATGGATGGAAACTGATAAAGGAGAGAACCAACCTAGAACTAAAGAGTAATTTCTTGACAGTTAGAACAAAAAAAAAAAAAATCAGTAGAATGAGTTGTCTCCAGAAGTTGTGGGTCCTCCAACACTGGAGATTTTTAAGAAGAGACTGGACAACCATTTGTTTGAAATGTTATAGGATTTCCTGCTTGTGCAGGGGGTTGGACTAGAAGACCTCCAAGGTCCCTTCCAACTCTCTTATTCCGGATATATGCGAGACAGAAGAAAAAAAATATTTTGCTAGAAAACATAAACAGATTGGTGATTATGAATGAAATGAGGGAACTCGGAATAAATAATCATGCCATTTGAAAATCCAAAAGGAATGAGAATGGTGACTCTTTGGGGTATAATTGTTTGGAAAAAGAGTTGTTTTACCCCCTACTCCCATATGTGATTGAAGCATAAATCGATTCATATAGACATATGGAACAGAATTGAATTTAAAAAGTATGATTGATTTGTTACCATTGTGATTCTACTCTGTATTCACACAAATGACAGCTGGCTTCTCAGATTGGGAATGCACATTCCTTTGTCTCAAGCAGAACCTCACTAGGAAAAAAAACATTACTTCTGACACAGATGTCCCAGCCTCTTTGTCTCTGAGGTAGGAAACAGTGATGGGCTGCTAAAATCAGAGACATTGTTCCAGGGAAACAGAGCAAAAATTTGCTATATATTTGCTATATTGGGGATGAATTCCCAACAGCTATGAGAAGTGTTCAAAATTTCACCAGATATTGACTCTTGTGGCACCTCACTTGATATCTTCTTCCACTTTTACAAGAAACCATTAATGAACACTTTTTAAGGATGGTTTTCAGGTATTAAACATTTAGTTAGCTCTCATGCTGTTTATCACATACTTAAGTGACATGTTAATCAAAATATCATGGGATACCTAGACAAATGTTGTAAGGTGAAGTTAAGATATATACTTTCACGGCATTCCTATAATCTGATAAAAATTAGAAGTATGCAATAAGATTTAGTTATTTACTTACTATATGATACCACTCTGAAAAGATTAATGGTGGTATAAAAAAAAAGTCATAAGATGCATAACTGTCACCCCCACAGGGCAGATCACAGCAAGAAACAGAGTCCAGGGAAATCTAAAACTACTTTTATTAAGATTGATTATTGCAGTAGAATATTGAAAGTCTAAATGTGCTTTACTTCCACCTTCCTCTAATATTCTTGTGAAAACACAAAGCTGTCCATCTGAGCAATTTTCCTCTCCACGTTTTGGTTTCAAGTTCCACTTGTCTCCCTGTTGGTCTGAGAATAGATTTGCTTTATCTCCATCAAATTTCATCTTTTCTTTCCAGGTTGATAACAGAAAAAAGTATAGTACAGAGATAATATCAAAAACTGTAGTATAATTATGTTATAATTATTATAACAATAATAATGATAACTTATTGATGGTAGAACATTAATGGTCTTCTGGTTAGTTCAGAAATAGTGTTAAGTCGCAAAGGTGCTTTTCCAAAAGGCAATTGGACTTTCTCGGTCTTTTTCCTTGAAAATATTTTGCTTCTCATTCAAATTTTGACCTTCAGTTGTGACTTCATAACTAAAAAAGCTTCTTGGATGAGAAGCAAAACATTTTCAAAGGAAAAAACTAAGAAAGTCTAGTTGCCTTTTGGAAAAGCAACTTTAGGACAACCATGACCTGGATGATTAATAATTTCCATAGACAATTAGTGTAAAGGCTTTTTTTTAAAGTGATGGAACTATTACATTTATGGGAGACTATACAAAGTGCTTGAATGTTCCAAAGTGATACAGGCATATTCATTGTTATTACTTTGGTTCTATTGATTTTAAAATCCATGCTTTATCTATACTTATATGGCTATTTGTTTCTCTTTAAAACCTAATAAACCAAAAATATTGCCTTTAACTGGCAGCTGGTCTCCTAGCTGTTTCTCTTTCTCCAATTCTTACCGCATATCTTCCTGTAATCCCAGTATATTTTTGGTAGTTTCCTGGAGAATTCCCACCATTTTTTTTTTTTTTTTGCGACATCCAGGCACTCATCAGCATTTCCTGTTTGGACATATAATAAAAATAATATGACAGTTGAATTTCAATTACTGGTATTGGGAGACTACATGTACTTTTGAAGGATCACTTGTTTTATCATAGCATTGATTGAAATCTCCATTGAGGTTAAACATGATAAGACCATAAGGGAAAGGCAGAAATTGTGCAGAAGAGGTTAAGGAAGAAATTAGAAAAATCAACTCAACTGAGAGAAGGAATTATGAAATAAATCTACAAAAGGCAATGACAAACTATTTCTGTTTCATGCAAAAAACAAAAAAAAAACACTCTTACAGCATGTATAGTTTTCAAACTGCATTTGGAAGTTAGAAGGTTGACCTTAGATCTTGACTGATTATCCATCATGTTGATATTCCAGTTTAACTTTGCAGAGACTACATCTGGTGGTTTTTAAATATTTTACATACTCATGTGACAAATATTTCAATTATCTGACCTAGTTCTTTGCATGATTAATTCAGTGTAACTCAGTCACTGGAGAGTTTCATCTTTGCATACTCCTGTTTTACCTAATATTCACAACTATTTCATCTTTGTACCTGCCTATTCAAACAAGAAGGGTTTTTTTTTCTTGTTTGAGGTCTAGCAGTGTGGTTGATTATGTATACAGGTAATGTTTTAATTTGTCAATTTAAAACACACACCAAGTTTTAACACTTACTAGTTATAATCCTAAATGCTTATATTCATATTTATCATGAATTTATTTTGTCCTTATATATTCTGGAACATGTACAGATTTTAGATTATACACATTAATCATTTGTTTTGTACTAGCATTTTGAATTGCTTTGAAACCGTGTGTGTGTGTGTGTGTGTGTGTGTGTGTGTGTGTGTGTGTATAAAAATAAGGGTAATTGACAAGGACCAAAAGACAGCCATTATGATAGATGTATCAGCAGTGCCAAGTGACAGCAACATCAGGAAGAATGAGTATAAGAAGCTGCATAAGTACCAGGGCCTGAAGGAGAAATTGGAAAGAATGTGGAAATTAAAAGCCAAAGTGGTCCTGGTACTGGTAGAAGTACTGGGGGCTCTGATTCCTAAGCTGAGAGAATAACCCCAACAGATCCAGGAACAACATTACAGCCCTTTGTCCAGAAGATTGCAGTGCTCAAATAGTTAAGATATTTCCAGAACCTTCAAACTTCCAGGCCTCTGGTGGAGGACCCAACATAGAAACCAGATAACATGTACATTCCAAGGATAGCTGAATCAGAGGCCCTAGCAAAGAAACAGAAGAGGTTGCAATATGGTCTATTGGTGAATGGGTAAAAAGTGGTATTCTAAGGAGGATCTGAATAGCATGTACATAATATGCTGCAAGAAGAAGGGTCCCTTGCAGTCATCCACCTAGCAGCTTGTTTTTCTTGGAAGAACAATAAAGGATATAATTTCATGCAACCGCCTGCTGTCTTCTTGATCCCAGTTCAGAAACAAACTTTGTAAGAAATAAAAGGAATTCCTTCAAACATAAGAAAGGCTCATAAATTTGAAACTTTGCAAAGCCAGAAAATCCATATAAAATCTAAATCAAGTTTGAATTTCCCAGGAAGGATTTGAAGGTATCTAATTCTAATTCTATCTAATTGCTTCAAAGCAATTCAAAGATTCAACTCAGAAATATAATTCTATCAAATCTATTTTGAATTGAAACATCATCTGAACCTTCATGCAACCTCATTGATACTTTGGAAAAGTGCAGTATTCTAAAGTAATCCAAATAAATAATAATCTTATATATTTTGAAATCAGTGACATTTATACTCTTGAGCACTTGACTCACACTGAAAATAATCCTTTTCTCTGAAATGAATCAGAGAATCACCTTAACAACAAGTGAATGTTACAAGAATTTCAGCAACTGAACTATTTTCCATTATCAATTTATGTCCTAAAACATAAGACCACAGCCTTTCATAATTTTTTATCCTATCTTTTCCATGACCTGGCAAAGAAACAGATATTTTTAGTGACAATTCATGAGCCTGCATACATCTATTTGCATCTTCTGATTCCTTCTCCACCTAAGAAGTGACCTTAACATTTATTTGGATTTGGATATTGAAGGGAAAAAATTGAACCATTTTGCTCTTGCCTTCTAAATTAAATAAATGGATCATGCTATGGCACTAAGACTGAAAATTTGTCTGCCCTAGCCTTAAGAGAGCTATAGAATAAAGGAAAGGATTACTATTAGCTAATTTTCATGGTGTTCTGAATCAATGCCAGGCAGCATATGATTAGTTTAAGAGACTAAATATGACTATGTTCTATGTATGAGAAAAAGAGAAAAAAAAGAGAGAAAATGACAGAGAAATATTTGTAGTTAGTACATCACTGATTGGAGTCATAATTTATTACTTAGGAATCTTGGTAACAGCTTCATTCACTTTTCTGATTACCTTAACTTTTCTTGTAGTTGCTGTTGTATATTCTGCCATGCTGGAGCAGAGTAATAAGGAAACGCCTCCTATTGGCTGAAGCATGACAGTTCTGCCGGCGGGAAAATGGACGCCTGCTATTGGTTGGCCCGTTTGACAGTTGCTATATAAATAGCATCTGCCCGTTCTGTTGTTGTTGCCGGTTTCCCTGTTTCCTGTTAGCATACTGCTGTTACTGATTAAATGGTTTAAGTTTTATCCGTCTGTGCCTCACATCTATCCACCCTTGTTCTCCTGAGTCAGAACAAATTGGCGGCGACGAAGGGGGATTAAATTGAGGAGACAGTTCAGAGCTAGTCATGTACAAAGAGCTGAATCCTGTCCTTTTAAGGATGGCAACCCCGGGCATTTCGAATGGACAACCAAAACTTGGGATGCATATATGGAGCGATTTGAGTGCCCCCTTCAAGCTAACAATTATGCAAGGCTCTCCAGTGATCGGAAACGAGCCCATTTCCTCAACATGTGTGATCCTCAAATCTTCACAATGGCAAGAGCTTTACTGGCCCCTCAGCCAGTATCCACAATACCTTGAGACACCCTGCTGGCCAAGCTGAGAGCACATTATGCACCAGCCCCTTCCCGCATAGCGCGGCACTATGCTTTTCGTCAAATACTTCAGAAGGAAGGCGAGTCCATAAATCAATATATGGCATCCCTCAGGACAGCTGCCATTGACTGTGAGTTCACTGACTTGGATGATTCCCTCCTGGAGCAGCTGGTGTAGAGTGAGGGACATTCGATTGCAGAGACGCCTTTTAGCAAAGAGCAATATTAACCTCCAGTTTGCATTAGAAGAAGCCTGTGCATCTGAAATGTCAAATAAATCAACTGCTGAGATGCACAGGTCTTCAATTGCCACCCCCATGGGCCGCTCCGCTGCTGTACACCATGATGAGGAGTCCTCTGACAACGCCTCAGACAATGAAGCTGACATAAGCCTCGTAAAACCAACCCTGCAAGGCAGGCGGCCAGCTGACAGGAAACTCCAGGCATTGACCTGCATTGACTGAAGGGAAAATCACCACAGATCTGTCTGCCGGTTTAAATCCACCATCTGCCGGAGATGTGGGGAAAAGGTGCACCTCACTAGTCTGTAGGGCTACCTTACAAAACACAAATTTCCCCATAGACCCACGTCCTGTTAGGAGATTGTAAGATCCAAAAAAGACTGTTTTATCATCTTCTGGGAGGGCAGTTACCCTGAGGTGTCAATTAGCCATTCCTCATCAGGTTCTAGCACTGTTAGGCTGGAAGGGGTTCACTGCAGAATGGAGGTGGATAGGGGCTCCTCTAAATCCATAATATCCTGGCACACCTTGCAAAACTAGTCCCTAATATTCAGTCACCTGAATGCCTGTAACACCAGGCTCTATGACTACCAAGGCAACCATATTCCCATTATGGGATGGGCCCATTTCAGAGTAGAAAGGGCAAATTTTCAGGCCACCTACCACTGGTCATAGTTAAAGGGAAACGTCCTAGTTTGTTCTGTCTCCTGAGTCAGAACAGTTGCAGTCTGCTTGTCTTTGTATTTGATTATCCTTCTTGAGAGTAAATACATTATTTTATATTCTAGGTTTGCTTAGATAACCTGTGTCTCTATCTGGGAAACAGCTCTTCTTTAGTTGTGTTTTCTGCAGCAATGGATATTTGGCTTATAATAATTTTCAGAATCTGCTCCACTTTCCTCTTATCCTATATCAGAATTCTGATGGGTGTGTTTTAAGTCCGTTGAGCTCAGTGTGCTTACAATGCTTAGTAGAACACACACAATGCCATATATGATGAAAAAATACATAATTTAATAGGAAAAAATAGAAATGGGAAGGAAGAATAATAATTACATTTTAACAAATGATATCTCTATATTTCATAGCATTTAGCCCATAAAATATTTTAGTAATATATATTTAGTCTTATTAACTTGAAATGGAAAATATAATATTCTCATCTGTCCATATCACAAAATTATTTTTCAGCTTCTTTCCAGAAATGTTTGTTATATGATATAGGACACTAGTGTGGCTCTTTTTGACAAATGGAATTCAGAGCTTTCTTTGGCATGAATTGCAAATTGTGCCATATTTCATATTCAGGCCTTTGCATCTTGAAAGAAATTCTTAGTCAACACAACACAACACAAAACAACACAAACATAAGCACAAGTGACCTTACAAAAACAAAACTCACGAAGGCCCTTAAAGCCAAACGTGCTGATTATTAAAGAAACAAAGAAGATGCTGAAAGTAAATGCAAAAAGACAATTTTTTTCAGGCTGGTTGAGTGATAGGTATCACAACCTGGCAATCACTGCACAATCATCTTTCCAGCCAGATTACCAAAACATAATATATTCACCTAAGAATTATTTTTATGGGTTTTATGCCAATTTAGAAAGCTTCGGATGTGATTTGTTGAATAAGATACTCATACAGGAAATTCACCAAAAACCTTTGTTTTTCTGAATGTTAAAAAGTTTAGCATCATCAGGGCA